TTAATTTTCATTTTGAAGCAAGTAAATTTTCTTAGAAGCTACCTTCACTAACATTAGAAGTCCATATCAACCAACAAGACCAGTCACCAGTTCCACTAACTCCTGAATATGTAACCAAGATCAACTTTGGGCAAATGGCGTAGGCTGCCAGAGTGGCCCGGGACCAGACGCGCGGCCAGGCCAAAAAAACATATAAAAATAAAAATATAACAATTATTCTTTAACTTCATTTTTTTCAAAATTTGGTAAGGAATTTTGATGTGACCCTGGGTCATACATGCTCAGTTGAGCGATGTATATGGAGCCAAGGATCTACAAATTGATGAAAAGGACTCGAATGGACATTGCAGCGTCAGCAAAGCATCAACAAGCAATGTACATCCAGATACATATGAAAATAGCACAATGCAGCGCAGCAGAAGACTCAAAGATATAACTAAAAGGGCCTTTACCCGAAATAGGCCTCAGGCCTTGTAAAAGTAAAACAGCACAGACCTTGTAAAAGTAAAGCATTGTGAAAAGGTATCTCGCCAGGGCTCAGAAACGTGAAAGCAGGTCAAAGGTCAAGTTCTCTATCAACAGGCACCTCTAAATCTAAGGCAAAGGGCATTGTCAAAAGACTTACCTGTTCACCAGGAGATGTGTATGTCATGTCTGTTCGGGTAAGAGTGTGTCTGTACATGCAGGCAGTGTACCTGTTCGTGCAAAGGAAAGTGTCTGTTCAAGCAGTAAATGTGTCTGTTTGTTTAGAGTTGTGCCTGTCCGAAAGTAAGGTCAATAGGCACAGTCCCAGTTTTGGTCTAAGTCAAGGGGTCAGTCCAGATCCAGACTTTCAAGTCCAAATTCAGGCCAAGAGGCCTCAGCAGCAGTTGAACTTCATTGGGACTATACTGGGACACATGCAATGCAGGGTCTGGGACAAAGGACAGGCCGAATTGAGCCAATGCAGACCCAGCGAGGAGTGGCCAGCACTATAAAGGAAGCTGCCTGCCTCATTCCTCGCCAAATCTCCACTGGCTGCAATGCGTGGAAGTGCTGGTGCACTTGTGCGCTGAGTCAGGAGGAGCAGCGCTGGAGGAGAAGACGCGCTGGAGGGAGGAAGATGCCTGTACGCTGGAAGTGATGCAGCCATAGCTGCCCAGCGAGTTAGCATTAGTAGTAGGGGGTTAGTATGTAGCTATGAGTAGTATCCAGAGTAGATCCTCATGAGTGAAGAGTGTGTATGCATCGTAGAAGGAAGGGACTGAGGCTGAGAGTGTTCATTCAAGGTTTGGCTATGGAAGATGCTTACCTGAGTTGGATGTGACCTGCAGGAGGTGGCGCTGATGAGTAGTGACCACATTGATGACTTGGAGACTATCTGCAGGAGTTGCGCTGATTCACTGGAAGTCATATTGATGAGTTGGCAAGATATTGGTGTTGCGCTGAGGAGCGCTGGACTCAGGGGAACTTTGAAACACTTTGTATTCATATTTCTGATAATATAAGCTGTGAAACTCGGTCCTCTTCTCATCTACCTTTGTCTATGATTCGAGATTGTTTATCCTGGTGTGTGAGGATGATGCATGACATGTACACACTGGCGTGAAAGGGTCCCCAGGACCCATGCATAACCTGACCTATCAGAGTCTGACGCGACACCCCATCATACAGCACACATGTGAGAGAGGGAGGAGGGACCGCACACATGGAAGAAAGGTCCCTCCTTGCACACGCACATGGGGGAGATACCACGCATGAAGAGATGCGGGAGAGGCGAGACGAAGATGGAGGTGACGGAGAAGACCAAGATCGTGATAGCGAAGTCCAAAAATAGTCTCCCTGCCGAATGTCCAATCAATGTCTGCTGTAAAAATGTCGAATCAGATCCTGGGCATTATGCCCGACTTAACCTCTGCCTGTAACCTCTCTCTCTCTCTCTCTCTCTCTCTCTCTCTCTCTCTCTCTCT